TGGACGTCGGAACCGGTCTGGGCAAGGGAGCCGCAGTGGGACTGAAGCTCACGCAAAACAACGACACTGGCTTCTCCATGGCGTCGGCAGCGTCCGCGGCCGATATCCCCAAGATTGCGGGCTCGCTCGCCTTCGGCCTGAGCAGAAGCCTCTCCGAATCCGTCAACACGAGCAACGTGGGGCTTGGAAACGTCCTCCCCGCGAACTTTGACCTCGGAAGCGCCGTCCTCGGTGCCGGGCGCGGCCTGGGCAGCGGCACGTCCTTGGGGCTCGGGTTGGCGAGCAACAAGAACTTCACGCCTCCCGCGGCAAAGTCTCAGTCGGATATTCCCGGCCTCGCAGAGGCATTCACCTTTGGGCTCGGCAACTCCTTCACAGACAAGATCAACGTCAGCTCGCAAGTGAGCAGCCTTGGTTCCATGCTCCCCCCCATCGACTTTGGCGCAACGGCGCTCAACACCGGCGCCGGACTGGGCCTCGGTGCCGCCAAGGGGCTCCGTCTGACAAACAAGGCCCTCGCCCCGGCTAGTCCGGCAAGCATCAATGACATACCAAATATTGCGGGAAGCTTTGCCTTTGGTCTCAGCGACGCAGTGGCCGGCAATCTCAACACGACGGATCTGCTGTCCCGATTCGGCGGCGGCAGCGGCAGCGGCATGGATGCCCTTTTCAGCGGAGGCGTCAACGGCCTCCTATCCAGGTTTGGCTCGCCGGCAGCATCCGGCCTAGGCAAGGGCCTTGGGAAAGGCGCGGCCATCGGCCTGGGTCTTCAGCCCGACGGCCCCCCCGAGCCGTTGGCATCCGTGGCCCCCGGCGACGTCGACATTGCCGGCATCACGCAAAACTTTGCCGAGGGACTCTCGTCGCGGTTCCTTGCCAACGGGACCGCTACCAAAGCCCTTGGTGGCTTGGGCAACGGCACGGGCGGCCTGGCGAGTCTGACTTCGGGGATTGACGTCGCCCGCGCGGCCGGTGGCTTCACACGAGGCCTGATCACGGGTGCCGGGGATGGCGTGCAGGCCATTGGCGGCATCAACGCCATCCTCAACGGGACTTCTAAGCAGCCGACGGCGGCGGTGCCCGACAGCAGAGTCGATTTCAACGACTCGACGGGCGGTGCGGCCGTGGGCTTCGGCCAGGGCCTGGGGAGCTCCGGCGTCGTCACGCTGCAGAAGTTGCTCGCGCAGGGAATCAACCTGGGCGCGGTGCTGTCCGGAGGCCCCAAGGTGAAGAGGGATGTAGAGGAACCGACCAGGGCGCTGGCGCTGGCAGGTCGAGACGAGGGTGCTGCTTCCGGGCTCAACTTGTCCAACTTGTTCACGGCGGATTCCCTGTCTGCCGTGGCGCAAAAGGGCGTCGATGCCCTGACCTGCGATGGCTTCGCGGGCGTGCTGCTCGTGGCCAGCGGCCTGCAGAGCAGCGGCTCGGTCTCTTTGGGTGGCGGGGGTTTGAGCGAGAATGTGCAAAACGCCTTGAGGGCGCTCATCCCCAAGAGCATGATTCGCGTCGTGTCGCAGGGAAACACGTTTGACATTGACGGGAAGCAGTTGGGCGACGTCTTCATATCCGGCGGCAACGCGGTGCAAGCCTTGTCCGTCAACGGATTTCCCATCAACATATATACCGCGTTTGTATCTTTGCATGGTAAGCTCGTCACGAATCCTTGATCCAAGTGTAGTCGAGTACAAAAGACACTAACATGTATGATGTTGCTAGTTGGGTCTGCCATTATTGGGTTGTTTTTCCTCATGCCCTTCGTCATGAGTCTCACCAGCCTGCGAAACATCCTCACTCGCCTACGCGTGCCGGATGTGCTTCCAAAATGGACACCCAAGGTCTGCAGGCTGACCGTCATCTTTGGCGTGATCCCCTCTCTCATCCTCCTCCCGGTCTTTGGTATTCTCGCCGCGTCGGGTACTCGGCATTTTCGCACCGCCCACGGGGTAAGTTTGATTCCTTCCTCCACCTCTCGGAACCTCCAACGACGCTGACAACTCGGCAAGATCCTCGGCCTCATCACCTTCATCGTTGCCATAGCCGCTGTCGTGCTGTATTTTTACTCCAAGCCTGCTGCGCTCACTCCCGGAGACCCCATCCCGGGAAACAGCCAAGTGACCCGGTTGTCACTCGCCTCCAACCTCGTGTACCAGCTTCTGTCGGTGCTCTTGTTCTTCACCGCCATAACGGGATATGCCGACTTGAGCAGTGTGACATTGTGCTTGACAAGGGCTGTGGTGAACTTTGAGACGGCGGTTTGGATCGGGATGGTGCTCGTGCCAGCTTTTGTCATTGGCGAGTTTTTAACCGGCTCGGAACTGCTGCTGGTATACCGAGCGCGCAGGAGGGCAAGAAAAGCGAGCAAGGCGGCGGCACGCGAAAAGACACAGGGGGTTCAAGTCGCAGAGGAGCAGTAGAGCTGTTCTGGTGCTGGGGGAGAGGGTACATTGCGAAGAAATCAGGCACGAAACGCTGAAAAATAGCACCCAACTTGTCTGTATCATGACTGAATGTTTGCGTAGCTCGCTCATCTGCCAGCAGTTGACACCGTTTAGCCGCAGCCGGCAACTTGAAATATGAAAAACGTGAATGCCAACGCTTTTGACTCTTTATGTGTCAGTGCCAGTGAGGGAATGTGGTAGCACATCTCGCGTTTGTTTTGCAACGTCGCCCTTCTGCATAGAGGCGTATGTTCCTGATTGAAATGGAGCTTCTACCGGCGCAATCTGACCCAAACTACCGTTCTAAACGCCCTATCAATACAACAAGAAATTCACAACCTATTCCAAGATCAATAAAGACTTCTTCTATAACTTCGGCCTGAGAATATCACCCCTTTCATCCCTGTAAGTAGCAAGCTTGTTCCTCTTGCTGTCTCCCCCGTGGCTGACTTGAGAGGGGGCGTCGAACGCTCCAGCGCCCGTCTTTTGTCCTCTTCCCTCCACTTGGACGTAGTCTCTCTGCCCCTCGCCGAGATACAGCTGCCTCGGGCGCCAGATCTTGACGCCCGACGGGTTCAGCATCTGCTGGCGCCAGTGCGCCAACCAGCCAACACACCGGGGCACCGCGAACAGCACGGGGTAGAAGCTACAAGCGAGCGGTTAGCAAGACGCACGTATAAATGGGCAAACAAGGTCTGGAATGATGCGTACTCTAGCGGGAATCCCATAGCCTGATAGATGAGGCCCGAGTAAAAGTCCACGTTGGGATACAGGTTTCGGCTGCGCATAAAGTCGCTCTCCCCAGCAAGCTTAGCAAGAGCCAGCGCAGTGTCGAGGAGCTTGTTGCGGCCAGTCACCTCAAAGACCTCCTCTGCAAGCTGCCGAATCGCCTTTGACCGCGGGTCCACGTTCTTGTACACGCGGTGGCCAAAGCCGACGAGGACGCGCTCCCGCTTCTCCACCTTGGCCATGAAGGCGGGCACGTTCTCGGGAGACCCAATCTCCATGAGCATGCGTATGGCGCTCTCCGAGGCGCCGCCGTGGGACGGGCCATAGAGCGCAGCACACCCGGCGGCAACGGCGCTGTACGGATCGACCAACGAGCTCCCGACCTGGAGGACGGTTGCCGTGGAGCAGTTGACTTCGTGGTCGGCGTGGATGATGAACAGGGCGTCGAGGGCCCTCTCGAGCACGGGGTGCGGGCGGTACTCGTGTCCGGACAGGTTGTCGAGCAGGTAGAGAAAGTTGCCCGTGTAGGACAAGCCCTGGGCGGGCCGGTTGAAGGGCCGGCCCTGTCGCATGCGGTACGATGCAGCGGCGAGCGTGGGCGCCTTGCCGATGATGCGGAGAATCTGCTTGTCGAGAACCTGGAGGGCGGCGGGATCGCCCGTGGCGGCATCCGTGTAGAGTTTCTGGCCTTGCAGGGATGGGTTCGCTTCTGGGGCAAAAGCGCCCAGCGTGGCAAAGGCAGAGGTCATCATGGACATGGGGTGAGAGTCATAACGGAAGGACTTGAACATGCCCTCAATGTCGCTGTGGATATACGTGTGGTGCATGATCTCATCTTGCCAGCTCTGGAGCTGCGAGCCGGTCGGCAGCTCGCCGTAGATGAGCAGGAATGCGGATTCGAGGAAGTTGCTCTTGTTGACGAGCTGCTCGATGGGGTACCCTCGGTATCGGAGGATGCCATCCTGGCCATTAATGTAGGTGATTTTGCTCTGGACAACGGCTGTGTTCATGTAAGCCGGGTCGTAGACTCGGAGGCCCTGGCTGGTCTCATCCTCGGCACGGTCAGTGTGCGATTGCGCCTTGATCTTCTTGATGTCGGTGGCCAAGACCGAGTTGTGCTGGATGGGAAGCTCATAGCTTTTGCCGGTGCGGTTGTCCACCACCGTGAGCGATGGACGGGGGATGGTCTTGACCGTCATGTTGGCTCGGGGCCAGGCGCGCGGACGAGCGGAAGTGTCAAGGTAGATGTCGCGTGGGAAGACGCAGTGATGATGACGGAGAAGCTGGGGTCGAGGAGTGACACTGCAATTGGAAGGGGATGGTTGTGTTGGGCGTTGCGCTTTTAAGTCTGGCCAGAGGTGACGAGCTTGGCATATGAAACGGCTCAATTCGGGATGAGCTTCATCAAGACCGAGGCATCAAGTCCACGGTGCCAGCTGTCAAAATAACTGGGTCGCACAATCCGCCACATTCCGTTCATCTTCAACAGCACGTGCATCCAGATGGCCATTTGAACTAGAAACATGTCACGACCAATCAGACTGCATCGAAAATACGTACGTGTACGCATACCAACCTGACTGTACCAGCGCTGCTTATCTAACTCAAGTATCGTTGATTTCATATTTGCTACTTGAATCAAAGTCCTTGAACCATCGCGCTCATGGCCAAACTCCATCGGCCTTGCTACTTTGGCACTTTGAGTCGGTGGTGGTTGACGCCAATGTAGCCACCAGGTACAACAAATCACCATCTGGACAACATCGAGTCAATTTTCATGACCCCCAATGGTCATATATTTAGCATTGCCGTCCAGTCTTGTATAAAGATATCTCATCCCAACACTGCCGGCACGTCTTCCTGGAGATAATAGTCCCTCACCTCCCGCTTGAACCACAGCGTAGCGACCAAAGCCAAGCCATGGAAAACAGTCGTAAAAGATAGCGCCATATAAAACGGGGTCCTCGGCGAGCAAAGCAACTTGCAGACCATGACGAGCGCAGGAGAAGCAACAATCCACATGATACACACAGCAGCACAGGCCTTTCGCTCTGCGCCAACGGGACATGGCGACGGCACGGCCCCGATATCCTTGAGCACGCCCGCCGATTCCGGCACCACGCGCAGCCAGACGAGCGTCTGCCCTCGCCTGGTTGGCCCTTCGAGTGTCAACGGATACAATGCATCGATGAAGCTCAACGGCCGCGGCATGACCATCGGCTCAGAGCTCGGTATCAGAATATGGAACCGGATCCCCTTGCCAGCATCTCCCATGGCCTGAACCAGCGCCACCCTGACGCAGAGCATCCATCTGCAAAGCACAAAGAGGTCATGCGCAACACCTATAAACTCGGGCGGGAGCTGTCCCTCCGCCCTCTCCAGCCTCACAAACGCGCCCATCCAAGCGTTATCAGGGTGAAAAACGAAGAAGCAATGCCCGTTTCCGTCGTTTCGGTACTGGCTGATTTTCAAGGCGATAAAGTCCCATACCACTCGGGCGAACCCCAGAGAGCTGCAGTCCGTCATGACGATGAAGGGGTCGTTCATGGCGGCAACCATGCCGGCCATGTCTGGTAAGTGAAGCGGAATTTGATGGCCGTGGTACGTGTCGCAAGCCTCGGTGGTTATGGTTCCCGTGGCCATCAAGGCCTTGGTCCGCGATTTGATGGCCGAAGGCCTTGTCGGCGTCCAAATCGACGCCGAGTCATGTTGGATGACCCTTTTGCACGTCGACCTTGCCGAGAGGCCCGGTGCCCCGCGCGACAAGAGCCATTGAAATAGTGATGAGACGTCCCGAACCACGGAGAATATTCCCTCTCGCCACTCTGGATAGTTGCCCACGAGGTAGAATGCAATTCCTGCCGAATACACACATTGCCACATTGTCGCGACGTGCCGAGCATCGTGGGCACGGGGAGCAAAAAGTCGTTGCTACAAGCGACGGAGAAGAGACATGGAATAGTAGTAGCTAAACGCAACGACCTATATGCAATGCTGAGCGTTGATATGCGTTCTCTCATAGTGCGTTTCTCTCATGGTGCGTGTTGATGCCCAATGTCCCCCTGCTGCAGTTTGTGTCAGACAAATGCTTTTGTTCCTGGGGGAAATGCGGTGTGGCCAAGGACAGACATCAAAATAGTCGCAACTGCTCGGTATGATATCCAAACCCACCAACGAACTTCTTTTTTTTTTTTTTTTTGCAGAAATTGGCAACATGTCAGATTCATTCTTGGCTTCCATGCGGATACTCCTCCTTCCAGCCGGCACATTTCATCGGCCCAAGATGTATTGTACAACGACGCCGGCATTCGACATGCCGTCCCGTGTCTCAGATTCTGTGGCTATGCTCAAACCGTGCAAGAACACGGCATCCTGATTTGCAGGCAACTCCTGGCCCTGATGAACGTCATTCGACCGCATGTTGCACTAGCCGTACCAGCATCGAAATACAATCGAGCAGTGATTTGGTGGTATCCAACGGGGACGGGTCTCGACGCAGCCCGCACCTTTAATAGCTAGCGCGGCGACGTAAAGTCGGCACATGGTGCGACCAGGCTGGACAACATAATGGTCGCCATCAAGTCGACGCTAGCATATTGTCGGCAGACGTCTTCTAAGAAACACACGCCAAGGCGCAATGAATAGGCCGTGTTGGCATCGTTTCGGTGATGGTTCCGTCTTCATTTGATAGCTCGTGTCGGCGTACGAGTCCAAGCCTCGTCAACATGCTGTAGGCACTATAAATGTTTCTGTTAGCGGGGATACTCAGGTACGCTGGCTTCATATGTAGCCAATACAGCATACAGCTGTAAGTGCCGTCTAGGAACACAACCTGCTTGGTTTAGGCGAGTCCAAGGGCAAAGATACCTACACTAATCCCAAGGGGAGCCCTATGAGAGCAATCTCCAGCGGCCCCTGCAACCTGAAAGATGAGACTCAAAAGTCCACCGGACGTTCATTCATGAGAAGCCGGCGGTTGGTAACTATATAAAGTCTCCAAGTCGTGAACATTTAACCTCGGTCACAGCGCCTCGACCTGCCGAGACTCCTGTTGCACTGTCACGGTTCGAACCACCATTTCCGGCTCATATAATTCTTGTAAAAATTTACTGGATATCTTGTACTTTTTTGAATGCGTACATATTTGCTCATTTCCATGCCCTCTTATGGTTGATCGTCTGCCGTGCAGTTTGCAGTGTATTTGTTGAAGGATCTTGCAAGTTGTAACCAAGTTTTTTTCTTTCTTGCTGGTCAACTAAGCGGTCTAATTGGAATAATGCCATTGTTTTGCGGCGCTTAGAGCTTGTAAGAATATGGACTTACTTTTCGTAAAAACTTCACACATACCATCTAAATCCCGAAACTTGCGATTAAATGTCATCGTAAATGCAAAACCCAGCCTGTTTGGACCCAGCGCCTGGCATGTCGGACAGCTAGCCAATCAATGCCCCAGATTCTTCCCAAAAGGGAATATTTGCCCATGGAACCGGTTTGTCGACGGTTGATACGCTTGGCGTTCCGTGTACGGACCACAATCCCAGAGCGCTTTCACATGCATCATCGTGGGGACTCGAAAAGGTCTTCGTCCATCACTCACAAACTCGCATAAAAACGTGTCACTACCCAATAGGACATAAAGCCTTCATAGGGTAGGGCGCCTTCAGGTAAACCATAAAGGTAAGAAAAAAGAATGGAGATGGTCCGTATATGGTGACCCTTGTTTCCACTTGCGTATTCTACTCGCAAGCTCTATCATCGCTGATGCCCCGAACGCCTGCTCCAACAAAATCGAGCTGCTCAACCCATTATTCCTGTCGCGTTTTCGTAGGAGATGAATTCAATGGTCTTTACACTATGGCCGACGAGTTCTTACTTTGGGCATCGGTGACTGCGCACTCCACAGCACTGTAAAGATCACCGTGGAAAAAAGGTCTGTTGACGCCGTGGATTGCAGCCATCCGTGGATTGTCGGCTCTGCTAGAACCCTCCCATCTCCCTGGCCTCTTCGCGTAGCCTGCGACTGCGGTGATAGTTCCTCGTGTCCGTTCCTCGTCAGTGTCAGTGTCTGTAACGCATCGGTTCTCGTCTCCAAACGGCCCTTCTTTCTCTGAAAGCGTCGCCGCAATGCTGTATATGGGCCTCCAATTTCTGACAGCCTCGGGGTTCTCTGCTGTCGGATAACCAAAGCCCGCTACTCCGAGAGCGCGTCGCGTCCACCGGTTATGAACATTTGCAAAATGCCACTCAACAGTGTCTGGCGCGGAATAGTTATCTAGTTGGTTCCTCAAGTCGATGAGCCCCTGTACCGACGTAATATCGACATGATTCACTGCCCCAAAATCAAGGACAATGGCACGCAAATATGGAAGAAGATGAGAGTTTGGTCGGCGTGTCCTACCCCCGGCGTCATTCCACAGGCGGTCCGACTCTTTCTCGTACCCTTCATCGGACAACCTTTGCGTGTTCTGCTCAATATATTTGGCTAAAATGTCAATGTGGTACGCTTGATTGGTGTAATTGAATCCTTCATGTAGCTGATAAATGAAAACACCAGGATAGGGAGACTCAAGTTTAATGTCTGGATTAATGGGTCCAGATCTGTCCAGCGGTATGAACGCATCTGGTGCAGCATGGCATGTTTTGTCGCAGGCAGAATTGCCTTGGTCAGGCCTGTTCTGTTTCCCTGCCGAAATTCTCTTAACCTTTACAACTCCCAAGAAAGTTCCGCGCGTCCTAGCCAGTCGAACCAACACCAAAACAATTGAGAGGGCTGCGCCTGCATAGATGGATGCCTCGAGCGAGACAAATATGGCCAAAGCGACTCCAACAACCCAGATCAAAAATTCAACGGGTGAGAGTTGCCAATATTTGTACAAACTACGAGGAGGCGTTAGCAAGTTGCAAACAGCATGGATGATGAGACCAGCGAGAGCAGCTTTGGGGATATAATAGAAGACTCCAGTCAAGGCATATAGTGCAAGAATAAGTACCCCGGCACTGAAGAGTCCTGCCAGGGGGGTTCTGACTCCTGCCTTGGAGAGGACAGCAGAAGCACCAAAGGATCCTGTACAGACGTAGCCACCAACAAATGGACTGAGGATATTGGCAGCGCCAAGCGCTACGACTTCTTGAGACGGGTTAACCGTGTAGTTGTACAGCCTGCCCATAGCTTTCGCTATGGCAATGTGCTCAATGACCAAGATGATGGCCACGGCAGGCAATTCCGGTAATACCTGCTTAACCAAATTCATTTCGATTCTTGGCACACCGGCGCGCTGAAAGCCTGTAGACAATGTTATGCAAGGCAAAGATATGATGGGTCTGACGATGGTCCTCACCTCGCTCTATATGACCCACGATGCGAAATTTGGCGTTCCCCTCCGCCGTGCTTCGATTAGCCAAATAGCTGATTAAAGTATAGAGCAGCATAGTAAAAGTTAATCTCAAAGACGATATGAATGACCACATTCGCCTCCTCTTCGGCTGGCGTTGCTCCATTTGGGTGCATATCCCTCGAATACCGAACAGTAGTGCGATGGAAGAGAGGCCAATCGCGGCGTCGAGTCGAGTCTGGGGAAGAAGCTTGAACGTCTGAATTATGACTTTATACGGTGGGTCTCTCGTGTTGACGCCTGGGAGGCCCAGTGCAGTAGGTATTTGGGTCGACATGATGGTGATGCTTGCCGCGGTGACGAATGCAGATATGGGAATATATGGGATAAACTCTACCACCCAGCCTAATCGCACCAGGCCCAGGAAGAGAAGAATTGCACCCGACATCATACTTAGGCAATGGGCTACCTGCTCGTTTGTATAATCTCCAGTAGTTAGGGTGACTCTATTAACCACTTGCCCAACAAGCAGTGATCCTACTGCAGTTGTCTAGTGTTCAAATATTAGAAGCTAAACGGGACGTCGGTTCGGGTTTAACTACGTAGTCCAGAAGTGGGGGAATTTCCCTTGAGAAAACTTACACCGATGACAATGTCCTTGGACGTCCCAAAGATCCAGTACAAGACTGCTCCAGTAAACGAGGTGTATAAGCCGTATGGCGGCGTCAGATCAGCCAACGCAGCATACGCTAATGCTTGAGGTACAACGACCAAACCAATAGTTATTCCTGCAGGTTCAAATTAACTTGGCATTCAAAAGGTTTAGTGGCAGTAATGCCAGGACCCCTCATACCAGCAACCATGTCTCCTGCCAACCACTGAGGATTGTACCGCTGAATCCACGACGCCGACGGGAATAGACTAGTAACATATTCAATGGCTCCTCTCCTTGAAGGGGCCAATTCCTTGAACCACTCGGCCACCGATGGTTCGTCCTCTACATATATGTCGGCAGAGTCGAGGATATCCGTAGCCTGCTTGTCCATGTCTGTTGGCATTGCAATGTAACGCTCAGTGACATTGATGCCAAGGACCTTGCGAACGAACAAGTCGGGGATCCGTCGCAATGCCATGGCGACGAGGACAAATCCGGTTATTGCAGCTCGTTATTAGAGCAGGGTTGTTGTCTAAGAAACAAACCAGTGCACAATGAAGTGATTGGTGCAGAATATATTCAAGAAAGTCGTTTGGGTATGACGGGGCGAAATTTTTAGTACAAGAGTAATGCATAGACCGACGAGGGCTACATATATCTGGCACTGGAAACGGCCCACGGCTGGAAATGATACGGGCGAGAGGGACGGTGAAAATTATCCACGACCGACATGTCGTTATGAGTTCAACGTTGCCAAGACCCGGCAGTCGGAGGGAAGGAGCAAACGAACAAACAAGTTTAAACCTGAAGCCACCACGGGACCAAGTGGCAGCGTGCAGTATGCGGCGTGCAGCGTACAACCATCAAACCCATCAACCGCCAGTCTTCAGCTGTCG